AGCAGTCGTTCAGCAGATTTCAGCAGTCGTTCAGCAGATTTCAGCAGTCGTTCAGCAGGTTACAGCAGTCGTTCAGCAGATTTCAGCAGTCGTTCGGCGGCCTCTGTGTTTTCAGTCCGTCTTGTTCTCTGTGACGGTGGGCTGATCTGACATCAGGTTCTTTAAACTTTTGAAGCTGTTTCCAGTTTTCGGTGTGCCGCAGTGACCCGTGTCGGTTCTTCTTGCAGCGACTCGTTTTTCTTTTTGGGTCTGAACCGGACCATCGGCTGTTTTCCGTCCCGCTCAGAGTTCAGGATGATTCCCATAATCCCTCAGAGACTTCTTGTTTCAGCTCTTTGTACTTCCTGACTCCAGGAGGTGAACAAGTCAAACGCACCTGTCTTCCTTCTTGTTTGCCTGCCTCCGTTGCCATGGTGACAGTGTGGCAACATGGATGCTGTTGCCGTAGTGATGGCTCAGAGGGAGGAAACGACCTGCGGGGATACATCATCTTCACATTCAGCCCTTTGCTCCACAACAGAACTGTGTGTGTGTTTGAAGGCGTCTCTTTAGTCAGAACTTTCCAGTTTGGGTCTAGGGGCTGCTCGCCGCCTCCTGGTCCCACCTGGAGCCGGCTGAGTTCTTCAGGAGTCTGCGCCGGTCTTTACCTGAAGCTGAAACCTTTTCTTTAGCTGGTATTGCATCACGCCTGGTTGGAGAGAGAAAGAAAAGTCCAGCCTAAATATTTTTCTAACCCGTCCGTTCAGACCTGGTTCTGTTCCGTCCTCCATCTTTAAGTCACATCATGCTGCATTCACTGAACGTGGGACATTTAGCTTCTTGTTTTGCTATTCACCTAACTTCAAAGATATTTGAACAACTTGAATTCTTACAGATTTTCTTGATTAATCGCTGAGTCGTTTATTCTTCTGTTTGTTACAATTCAACTTTTAGCTGTTTGTATGAAAATATTTGGCTCATTCAGGCGATGGGTGCTGACTTTTGTTTTAGTGTAATATTTATACTTTGAAGATATTTAACCTTATTTACATAAATTATCCCCATAGACGTTGAGATGTTTTCAGTTCCATCAGAAACTTTCTTTGTGAAATCTACTTCAGCTGCTGACGCTGGTGCTTTCCACTAATGCTACTTTTAGCTTTAAGCTACTGTTTTGCCTCTTAACTTTTAGATAGCATGTTGCTGTTTTTAGGTAGCATTTTTCCCACTTTTAGCTAGCCTTTTGTTACTTTTAACTACCATACATATTCAGAATGTAATATGCATTTTACTACTTTTAGCTACTCTTCTAAGACTTTTAGCCTTAGTTACTTTTAGCTACTTTTCTACTTCTTTTAGCTAATTTTGTAACATTTTTATTCTTTAGATAATTTTGTTCAGCTTTTAGCTAGCTTTTTGCTACGTTTAGCTACCATTCTAATACTTTTAGCATGTAGCTAGTCATTTGCTATGATAACTTTTATCTCTTCTTTAGCTATTTTCGCTACTATTCTACTTTTTGCTTTTAGCTAGACTTTTGTTACTTTTAGCTACCTTTTTTTTTTTTATTTAACCTTTAGGTTCTTTTATCTACCTTTTATACTGCTTGTAGCATTTAGCTAGCCCTTTAGCTTTTAACTACTATTACGTTACCTTTTAGCATTTAGCTAGATTTTTCTTACGTTTTTCCTTTAGCCAGCCTTTTCTTACTTTTCAGTTTTAGCTAGTGCTCTGCTAATTTTAGGTCCTTTCTAGCCTTTTTTAAAACCTTTAGCTAGCAAGTTTTACCTTTTAAGTAGGTGTTTTAAGTTGTGTTCTGCTCCCTTCAGCCTCCACGGTTTAGTTTCAGCTTCTTCAGCTGATGTCAACAGACATTCAGCATATATCAAGCAAACGTTCAGCATATATTAAGCAAACGTTCAGCATATATTAAGCAAACGTTCAGCATATTTTAAGCAGACGTTCAGCCTATTTTAAGCAGCCGCTCTGCAACACTCAGTGTTTGTTTTTCTTTGTGAAACAAGCAAAATGTTTTGCAGATCTCTTCAGGATGGTAGGAAGTCACGCAGGAGTCTCATTTAAACCTTTTTATCTGTTAGGAGCCACAGGAAGCCCCACCCTGTTTCCGTTGCCACGACGACCTGGCTATGGCGCCATCGGAAAGCCCATCGAGCTTCTGGCCAACTGTTTCCAGGTGGAGATCCCCAAGATAGACGTCTACCTGTACGAGGTGGACATCAGGCCCGATAAATGTCCCCGCCGGGTCAACAGGTACCAAGAGGAACTGAACCAGGTCCTGGTTTCAGAATAAAATGGAACTAAAACCGGTTTTGGTTCCAGGGAGGTGGTGGACTCCATGGTCCAGCATTTTAAAGTGACCATCTTTGGGGACCGCCTGCCGGTTTATGACGGGAAGAACAGCCTCTACACCGCCAGCCCACTTCCTGTTGCCGCCGGCGGGGTGAGTCACTCCGTCTGCTGCACGGAGCTCAGAGCGACCCGAACGGTTCTGTCTCTGAAGGTAAACAATTCGTCCTCTGCAGGTGGACCTGGACGTCACCCTTCCAGGTGAAGGTGGGAAGGACCGCCCCTTTAAAGTCACCATCAAGTTTGTGTCGCCGGTCAGCTGGAACCTGCTGCACGAGGTCCTGATGGGACGAGGACACCCCGACCCGCTGGACCTGAACAGCCCACTGAGCACCAACCCGGTCCAAGCTGTGGACGTGGTCCTGAGACACCTGCCCTCCATGAAGTGAGTCTAGAACCAGGAACAGTTTTTGTTTGCAGATCAAACTTTAAACAAGGCGCTGAGGTTGTTTAAATTCACGGCTTGTGAGAAATGATCCTGGAGGTATGAGATGGTTCTGACCCATGTCCCACATGAGTCAGCATATTTTAGAAGAACACTGTCCACATGTCATGTTGTCTTCACCCACCTGTCCCTCAGATACACCCCCGTGGGGCGGTCCTTCTTCTCCGCCCCTGAGGGCTACGACCACCCGCTGGGCGGAGGCAGGGAGGTCTGGTTCGGGTTCCATCAGTCGATTCGGCCCGCCATGTGGAAGATGATGCTGAACATCGACGGTGAGGCTGAGCTTGAGCTGCTTCCTTTGAGTTGGACTTCTGACATCAGGTTTTGACATCCCGACCCGGACCCGTGTCATTTCAGTGTCAGCCACGGCGTTCTACAAAGCCCAGCCCGTGGTCCAGTTCATGTGTGAGGTTCTGGACATCCACAACATCGACGAGCAGCCGCGACCTCTGACTGACTCCCACAGAGTCAAGTTCACCAAGGAGATCAAAGGTGAGGTGCTGGTTCTCATCCGGTCCTGTTCAATAAACCTGATTCAGTGCTGTTTGTTGGACCAGATCTGGTCTATTTAGTGTTCTGACCCAGAATAAAAGCCTAACTGAAACCCTAACCACCATCCAAGTCTTGCATTTTAAAACAAGGCTCTAAAGTAAAACCTGGTTTTTAGTTTGTTGTAGATTTTCCCCGGTGGTTTAATGGTTAGGATTCGGCGCTCTCATTTTTTTTTTTTTTTTACACTTGTGCTACTATTCCTACTTCGTGGTTTTTCACTTATTGCGGGGCTTCAGGTTACAGATCCCCCGCGATAAACGAGGGACTCCTATATAAAAATACCAGCAATTAAGTTCTGAACAGGTCATGTGCAGACATGTGTGAAATGTCTAATATGTGAAATGTTTTAATGTGAAAATATTAAAGTGTTTATTGTGGTACAGGATTAATTTTAATGCTCAATGTATAGAAAGGGGGAGAAGTTGAAAAGCTTAATAGCCACAGGGAGGAAGGACTTCCTGTGGCTGTGGAGCACCTCGGTGGTCTCAGTCTATGACTGAAAGTGATCTAATCTCAGGGTTGTGGGTTTGAGCCCCACGTTGGGCACCAAAATATAGATTTTTACTACATCCATCCATTATCTTTTACCCGCTTCTTCCATTTTGGGTCACGGGGGTCGCCGGTGCCCATGTCCAGCAATCACTGTGCGAGGGGTGGGGTACACCCTGGACGGGTCGCAAGTCCATCACAGGGACACATAGAGACAAACAACCATTCACTCTCTCACTCACTCACACCTAAGGACAATTCAGAGTTACCAATCAGCCTAACATTCATGTTTTTGGTCTGTGGGAGGAAACTGGAGTACCAGGAGAAAACTCACGTATGCACGGAGAGAACATGCAAACTCCACCCAGAAAGGCTCCCGGACTAGGATTTGAACCAGGGACCAGTTGCACCACCGTGCTGCCTGATTTTTACTACATTGATACTTAAATCATTAAATAATTTGACACCTTGATTCTGATTGACAGCAAAGTCAAGGTTTATTGTAGAACACTGGCTCTCTGGAGAACCTCTGCCCCAAAACTATCACAGACCTCCTTTTATACCTTTCCATGTGCATCAGTGGTTTGTATAAGCACACACACATAAGCTGTTTTCAGAGATCAAAGATCTCTGGCTGTAAGCCCAGACATTCTGACGCTTGGTTCTTCTCGTAATAGAAACATGTCTTCCTTTCCCAAAAGAGGAGGTCAGTTTGACCCAAAGCATTCCATATTCCTCATTTGGCCACAAGTGATTGACGCACATTTCATACAACTCTTCAATCCTACAAGTTCTGTTCGTGTCAGAACCTTCTGATGTTCCTGATCCCAGGTCTGAAGGTGGAGGTGACCCACTGTGGCAGCATGCGCAGGAAGTACCGAGTGTGCAACGTGACGCGCCGCCCTGCCAGCCTGCAGACGTATGTCTACTGCCTCACACATTTTACATGCAGCCGAAGCTGCTGCAGACTCAGTAACGCCAGCTGCTGTTGTTTCGCAGGTTCCCCCTGCAGCTGGAGAACGGGCAGACGGTGGAGAGGACCGTGGCTCAGTACTTCAGGGATAAGTACAACCTGCAGCTGAGGTACCCCCATCTGCCCTGCTTGCAGGTGGGCCAGGAGCAGAAACACACCTACCTGCCGCTGGAGGTGAGAGCTCATACGGCGTCAACATGGCCGCCTGGCGTCCGCCTTAGTGTTGGACTCATCACCTTCTGCTGTTTGACCCTCCTGACTTTGGACCCGTCCTTCCCTACAGGTGTGCAACATCGTTGCCGGTCAGCGCTGCATCAAGAAGCTGACGGACAACCAGACGTCCACCATGATCAAAGCCACGGCCCGGTCCGCTCCAGACCGGCAGGAAGAGATCAGCCGCCTGGTGGGTTTCAGCCACGACCCGGTCCACAGAAGCTGCCTCAGGGGTTTTACCTGTCTTCTTCTCTGGCAGGTGCGCAGCGCCAACTACGAGTCCGACCCGTTCGTTCGGGAGTTCCAGTTCCGGGTCCGGGATGAGATGGCTCAGGTGACGGGTCGGGTTCTGCCGGCCCCGATGCTGCAGTACGGCGGCAGGGTGAGCTCTGAGGCCTTTCTGGTACTTTCCTTTATCAATCACAAACTGTGTGTGTGTGTGTGTGTCTCTGTGTGTGTGTGTGTGTGTGTGTGTGTGTGTGTGTCTCTGTGTGTGTGTGTGTGTGTGTCTCTGTGTGTGTGTGTGTGTGTGTCTCTGTGTGTCTCTGTGTGT